AAAAAAAAAAAATGTCCGTGGGGTCAGGGGAGATGAGGTTCAGTCTGACTGTGTGCTGAGTAAATTGATATTAGCCACATAATAGCCACAAAAGGAGAAGGGGCGCAAAGCTGTTGCTGGACAGGCACAGTGTCTCACGCCCATAATCCCAGCACCTTTGAAGTCCAAGGCAGGAGAATTGCTCGAACCTAGGAACTCAAGACCAGCCTGGGCAGCATAGCCAGACCCCATCCCCCTAAAAAAAGCTAGAAAAAATTAGCCAGTATACCTATGCAACAATCTTGCATTTTCTTCACATGTACCCCAAAACCTAAAATGCAATTTAAAAAAAAAAATTAGCCAGATATGGTGGTGTGCACCAGCAATCCCAGCTACTCAGGAGGCTGAGGTGGGAGGATCACTTGAGCGCAGGAGGTCAAGGCTAGGGTACCTAACCTTTGATCATGCTGCTGCACTCCAGCCTCGACAACACAGTGAGACTCTGTCAAAAAGCTGACATTGATGGATCCACGCAGGCCTGAGCTCGGTGGCTTAGGCCAAAGCTTTGTAGAAGGGGGTGTAGAAGGCATGAAGTGACTGGACATGGCCCTTTGAAGTCCACTTGCCATGGCCATGCAGTGCCTGTGTGGGTTGTCATCAGTGCTGGGGACAGCATCCCATGGCCATAGGCTGGAAAGGAAAGCTTCTCCACCCAAAGAGAGCCAGGGGGATTCACTGGCTGTTGCCTGGTCGCCTTGCTTACCTCTGCTGGGTTGCAGTGACACACAGAAATGGGACTGGCTTTGTCACAGGTGCCAGGCTCAGCTGCGGGCACCAGGTTTGCCCCTTGCTCACCCAGGCTGGGTTTGCTGCTTGTTGCTGGCAGTGCTCTCTGTCCACCCTGGACTGTCCAAAGAGCTTCCCCTTGCTGGCCTCCATGGTGCCCAAATCACAGAAATGCCAAATTTCAGGGTTTGGGGAGACCTCAGCCCAGCTCTAGCACAACTCCTCTGTCATAGTCCCCTCCAGTGTCCCCTCTCTTCTGTGTGATTGGCCATTTTTCCAACTTTGAGTTGGAGCCTCACTGGCTCATTGTCTCCAGGCCTCACTGGCTCCTCCGCCCTCCCTTCATGCATTCTCTCTGCTGCATCCAGGATGGTCTGAAAACTCCCATCTGGGCAGGTGCTTTCATATTCTACCCCTGACTGACTCCGTCTCCAGGGGTGACTTCAGGGCATTCTGACCCTCAGCCAGGAGTGGCCGCCATTGCCGTGTGAGTGGCAGAGGCCATCAGGCTTCAGCCTCACCTCCCTGGCCCTGTGTGCCTTTTTCGTGGGCTCTTCAGTGCCTGGAGCACCATGTGCTCCCTCTTTGCCTGGAGAACTGGCCCCTCACTTTCCATACTTTGCCCCACGTGCTGCCCCACCCCATGTGGTCCTCCCACAGCACATGGTAAGTTACGGTCTCTGCTCTGCTCTGGATCCACTTTCCAGCAACCATCAAGGCTCTTGTCAGGCGTGGATTGCTCTGAATGTGTGTGGCACATGCAGGTCAGTGGGGATGGCGTTAGGCTTGTGTGCTTGGGACACTGGGTGATCTGATGGACTGTGGTCAGTGGCCTGGACTAGCCCGGGAACCTGTTGGAAAGTGGAACTTTAGGGCATAGCTATCCCTGAGTTGGAGCCTGTTGTCTGAATTGCCTTCCTGGTGTGCATCTTCCGTGCCATCCTGCAGCTCTGCCCCTGCGGGTCCTTCCTAGAGCCCCGCTCCCTCTCCTCTGAGAGGCTGACTTTGCTCATAGCCGAACATCTTTCAGATGCCTTACTGACCTTGCCCCCACAGACCCATTCCCCAGTTATAACTGATTTCTCATGTTATGCTTTGCTGAATGTCCTTCCTTTCTGCCTGACATCTGACGGCTGGCCCTACTTCCGCGTGACACATGGGGGCCTTGCTGGGGACAGATCACCTCTGAGCTCTTTTCCTTTCTGAAGCAGCTGCCACCCATGGGCCTGTGGGGTCTGACTCCAAGTGCCAGCCCCTCCTCTGATGTCAGAAGGGCATGGTCCCCCCCCCCCCGTCCCCAGGCACTCACTGGGGCTCTATAGCTTCCATTTACCTGGCTGGGTTGGAGGGGAGTGAGCCCACCCTCTCAGCTCGAGCAGGCCGCCTTCTTGTTACCTGGACACCTGGCAGCCTCCATTCTCAGGACAAACTGTGGAAACCCCAAAGCGAGCCAGTAACCGGGTACCAGTGTTTACCTGAGAATTAATCTTTTTTTCTTTCTCTTTCAGTGGTTGATATCACAGCAAGTATCCTTTCCGTGTTGGTACGGTTCCCTTTAAGGAATTCTCCACTTAAATAAAAAGAATGTATCAAAACTTGAATCCCACCTCCCAACATGCCCTGCAAGTTGAGGCTCTGCCCACAGGCCGCCTGGAACATCCCCACCTAGCCCTCGGCGGCCCCGGGTGCTGCACCCCTCTGTGCTTCCCTCCATACCTGGCACCCAGCTCCAAGCTCTGCCCTGCAGCAAGCTCTGGGTTCACTGGGGGAACAGCAGAAATTGGAATTTCAGGGCAGGCTGGGACATGCGTGCCCCACAGACCTCGGCAGGGTAGGAGCCCCAAGCTGTGGCCCTTTTTTTTTTTTTTTT